TATATATATATGGAGCTCTGGTAGCATATAGTTCAAAACACTCAGTCACTCTGAGGGGAAAAGTGGAGGCTTTCCACTCCCATAAAGAATTATAGCCTCAGAAACCCTATAGAGGGTCACTATGAGTCAGAACCGACTCTATGAAACATAAACCCACCATCACATATATATGTATGTTGTTGTGAAGTGCCATCAAGTCAGTTTTGACTGACAGTGACTCTGTATACGGTTTCCGAGGAGCAGCTGGTGAGTTTGAAATGCCAACCTTGTGATTTAAATGACCTTGAGGTAGAGCTTATCCAACAGTGCCACACAAGAAAGTGACAAGTTTCAAACTTTGAATACTCCTATAAAAGTCTTCCTACACCTTGGAATTTCATCACTGGGATCACATCCAGGACATTCACTGTTTGCTTTCAGAGAAGAAGAAATAGAATGGAGGGGGAAAAAAACACAAATTGCCTGGAAGGATAAACAATGAAGCAGTCATTAAAAGCTTAGAAATACCTACCAACTGTTTTGCTAGTGTAACAGATAATTACTTCAGCAGAATACTTAAAGAATAAGAAACAATGAATTACTCTCTACTGTAATTCCATTTTCGTGGCCTATGCCAAACGGATGCTGATGTGAGTGAAATCATGATGTAATGAAGTGTGCCTGCTATTTATGGTAATGAATGAAGTTCATGAAAGGCCCAGGTTATGATGCATTCTTCATTGTGTTCTTGGTATTTCTTGTTTTGTTATGGTTATGTTCTTGGTTTAAAGTTCTCACAAATAGTTACAACTAATAATTGTTGCTTTTGCCTTTGTTTTTGTTGTTAATAAACGATGTCCTTCTGAGAAGTACCTATGTATTTCTTAACCTCTTTGAATTGTTATAATTTCTCATATCGTATTCCTAGCAAATATTTATCTAGTTTGTCTATTAATTTTATGCAGTTATTTTAAAAAAATAATTTTATTTTGGAGAAACTATACACATTAAAGTGGGAAACAGATGCAGATCTCTGCTCCCGCAGAGATTTGAAGGCTTGAAAACGCTATACAGGGTTGCTATAAACTAGAACCGACTCGATGGCACTTAACAGCAACATACACAGCAAATGAAACACCACTTCAACAGTTTCTACATGTACAATGAAATTACTTTGATTACATTCTTCAAGT